ATTTTTAAAAAAATTTTATTTATTTATTTATGATAGTCACACACACAGAGAGAGAGGCAGAGACATAGGCAGAGGGAGAAGCAGGCTCCATGCACCGGGAGCCCGACGTGGGATTCGATCCTGTGTCTCCAGGATTGCGCCCTGGGCCAAAGGCAGGCGCTAAACCGCTGCGCCACCCATGGATCCCAGATTTATTTATTTATTCATGAGAGACACACATAAAGAGAGAGGTAGAGACACAGGCAGAGGGAGAACTTGGCTTCTTGCAGGGAGCCCGATATGGGACTCGATCCCAGATCCCGTGAGCCCAAGGCAGATGCTCAACTGCCAAGCCACCCAGGTGTTCTCCCTAGGAAGCTATCTTAATCCTAACACTATATAGGAAAAAATGTGATCAACTCTGCTCTATAGTATCAATTTCCATCAAAAAGCAGTTAATTTCCTCACTCATGTTTACTTCACAGTTAAATTGTGTTTATTTTTCCAGAAAATATTTTCTAAGTATTGTACTATTGAAAGCTACATGTCATTACTAAAAAGGACAAATCTCAAACAGCAAATATCAAACACTTTCTAACTCATCTTTAAGTTTGACAACCTTTTGAGGTAAATGAGGCATTTAGGGAAGCCCTGGTGGTGCAGTGGTTTGGCGCCGCCTGCAGCCTGGGGTGTGATCCTGGAGACCCAGGATCGAGTCCCACATCGGGCTTCCTGCGTGGAGCCTGCTTCTCCCTCTGCCTGTGTCTCTGCCTCTCTCTCGCTCTCTCTGAATGAATAAATAAATAAATCTTAAAAAAATAAAAAAATAAAAAAATAAATAAATAAAAGAGGCATTTACTGTTATTCTACATTTTGTTACAAAGTACTGTACATAATCTACTATTTAAGATAATATAATTTGTATATGTACTTAACCTGGATTAGGTAAAAGTGTAACCCATGGCAACATACTACAAGCAAACCAGCTATGGCGTGACTGTCAACTCCTTCCAGACCTATAAACTTCACCGTTTTCTCAGAATATGTCTTTTTTGTTTATAACTCATCTGACACACAAACTGAAAGCGTCAATGTCATTTTATGCATTATCAAAATTTAATTGCTTTTTAAAAAATCTTTTTAAAAAGTTTTTTATTATTTTTTAGTGATCTCTATACCCAATGTGGGGCTTGAACTCATGACCCTGAGATCAAGTCGCATGCTCTTCTGACTGAGCCAGCCAGGTGCCCCCAAATTTAATTGCCTTTTTTTAAAGATTGTATTTATTTAGTTGACAGAGAAGGGGAGAGCAGGGGGAATGGGTAAAGGGGAAGCAAGCTCCCTGCTGAGCAGGGTGCCTGACACTGGGCTTGATCCCAGGACCCTGGGATCATGACATGAGCCAAGGCAGATGTTTAACTGACTAAGCTCCCCAGGCACCCAACTTTTTAAAAACAAAACCAGTTGAAAGAAAAAAAAAGAGAAAAGAAAAGAAAAATCCTGTACTTTTTTTCTGTATTCCAATAGATAGGTCAGTGCACATGCCCATGGGTACATAGCTACTCGACCTCTAGTACAAATCCCTGAAACTAAAATTTTTATATACAGTAAATGAAACATTAGAATACCTAGACTATGTCAGATTCCATAATTACTCACTCAGTTTGCTAAAATTAGCTTAGGTCATAGCAGTACGTGGTGTGGCTATCTTATTCCTCATAGGACACTAGGAATACTTTACTCAGATTAGCCATATCCCTCCTGTAGGCAACTAATAAAGTGAGTGATTAAACTATTACTATAAACTCATTTTTTTCCATTTTGCTCCCTCCCTAAATTTATATAAGCTTAAGCTCCTAATCAAGAAATCTTTATAAGCATTTTCTTAAAAAAAAAAAGTATGAGCTGAAATTTGACCAACTGATATAAAAATGGAAGAACTCCAGGTTTGGGGAAAACTGATTTTGTTCATTATTCTGCTACTGAATGAAATATAAAATATAGGGGAAGCTACAATTTGGCTGGAAAAAATAATTATTTGGTCTCATACTTGTTGAGTGAGAAGAATCTATTGAGATATTAGCCTTGAAAATGAGGAAGAATCCTTTCTTAGGAAAAAGTGAAAAGAAAAGAAAAAAAAAAGAAAAGAAAAGAAAAGAAAAATGAGAGGGACCTGGTGACCAATTAAATATGAAAGAACCAAAAACTATCAGAGTTTTTCTTCACACTCAATTGGTCACCAAGTCCTATGAATTTTAAAATGTCTCATACTCTATTTCCTTTTTTCTCTGATGTAGTCAAACCCTTATCTTTAACCAGACAGGTTTTCATTTTTTTTTTTTAAGATTTTATTTATTTATTCATGAAAGACACACAGAGAGAGAGAGGCAGAGACACAGGCAGAGGGAGAAGCAGGCTCCCTGCAGGGAGCCCAACATGGGACTCCATCCTGTGTCTCCAGGATCACACCCTGGGCTGAAGGCAGAGTTAAACCGCTGAGCCATCCAGGATGCCCCCAGACATGTTTTTAAAATAGCATTCTCGATTTCTTGTCTTAATATCCCTTCATCTTTCCATTATAATTATCTTCTATAACAATATGATCACCTCATTACCGCACACAAAAAAATCGACGTTCCCATTTATATCACTTGGTTGAATTTACTGGTTTCAACTAGAGTTACAGACTGAACCACATCATTCTTATTTATAAGCCCTTCATCGTTCCCTCTTCAAACAGCTTGGCTGAATTTACACGTTTTGCTAGCTTTAACTGGTGTCTTAGTAATCAATCAGCAAGGATTTATTGACTATTGTACATTGTCCTAGGTTTATAATACTTTCCCTATGCTCACAGCTCTTAAACTCTAGTTGGACTCTATAAGACCAATAAGCTTTTAAACACTGCTACATTGTTCAGGACTTAATTGTTCTGTGCCCATTATGTGATTGGAAATCAAAGAGAGGAGATAAAAAAAATTAAGGAAGGACTTCATGGAAGAGATGGAATTTTAGCTGAAAGTTGAGAGGTAGGCAACACAAAGAACAGATAGGAAGGGGATTTAATAGATACAGAAGAGAGGAATCAGATGGAGGTGAAGATGTCAGGAGAGCTATGAGAAAAGCCAGTGGGGAGGAAATTAACGGAGGAAATGTAAAGATGTAGGACATTAGTGATGGGGGGGGGGGTGGCAATGAGATACAACTTTGGCTAGGGAAGGTGGCTTCCACTATAGAATGTCTTGGAAGCCAGCCAGAGGCATTTAAATTTGACTTTACATATAGACAGTAATTAATGAAAAGGGAAGAGATGGCATAAGATTATTCCAGTATCCATATTCAGGCATACGAAAGAGAGAGATAGGCAAACAGAGACATTTAGAAAGAAATTATAGGGCTTAAAGACAGATTGCAGTTAAAGAGAAGTTGACAAAGAAAAGTACAAAGTTTCAAAGGCCTTGAAACTATGAAAATGGAGATACCACTAAATAAACAGGATAGGAAATCAAGAAGGTCAGAGAATGGGGAGATGGTTTTGTACATGTTAGATTTAAGTATATCCATCCAGTGGAGCTATCCTATTCTATTCTATTGTGTAATACCTGGGTGAAGTCAAGAATCCAGAATGAAAATACAGAGATAGTGATCTATCAAAGCCTTATACCCACTTAGGACTTTAAAACTCTATATTATTAATTTTGAGTTTCAAAATCCAGGAAGGTACAAAAGGAGAAATACTTCATTTCACAAATAATGTTAATAACTCATGTGATTTTCCCAAAGTCAAACAAGTTGCTAGTGGCAGAGCCAAGAAAATTCTAGTTTTTTACTCTTGCCATTATATTCCCGGGTTTCAAGAAGCAAGCAAAATTCAAGGCTCTTCTTTCAAAAATAGCCATCAGCATGCAAGCAGCAAATGAAGCTATGAGAATGTATAATTTTTTTGATGGAAGAAAAAGAGAAAGAGAAAGGATTTCTGGCAGATAGGAAGAATTAATTAAAATTTGGAAGGAAGAGATCTCAGCAACAGATACCACCAAGTTGACAGGAGTACTCAAGAGGGTAGGAAAAAATTTAAAAGCAGGAAAGTGCAGAGTCAGGAAAGCCAAAAATGGAGTTAGTACTCTGTGATCTTAAATGCCAAAGTTGGAAGAAGGTGATTTGGCATGGAGGTAACACATTTGATGGCTGAATTTTTTTTTTTTCCAAAACTTTATCTCTTGAGATATTGGGGGAAAAATCCTTCAATGTTTACATCAATGTCTGTTACACTACTAAAGGGGTCTGCATTTAAGTTTTCATACATTAAACTTCTACTTCACAAGTTATATTAACATAAACGAGTGTACAATGTTTTTCAATATTGAAAAATTATAAAGCCTTAAAAAAAAAAAAACCTCAACTATATTTCAACATAACCTGATCAGTTTCTTCACTTTTTATTTGGCAAAAAAATTTTCAGCTAAAAAAAAAAAAAAAAAAAAAAAATTCAGCTTTTATCTTCTCCATATTTGAGAGGCTTTGGAGAAACATAAATAATAGTTTGCTTTTTGCTGTGATCCATTTTACTAAATCAAAGTTCCAGTAAAGGAAAAGAATGAGGACTGTAAAAAAGCAAAACTAAAAAAAAAAAAAAAAAAAAGCAAAACTATACATCTATGCCCCAAGTTAAATTCCGTATGAAGTAATTTACCAAGTTTTCATAATGATCGTTAATCGAAATAATATGATCAATGTCTTGATCCTATTTGCAACTTTTGTCTTAAGTGGAAGTTACCACGGAAAGAAAAGTGAACTATTTTATCCTTGTTCTAACACCACGTACATAACATTTTCAATTTTACAACTGAAACCAACTTTCATTAGTGATATTTTTAGAACACAGCACCATCTTTGCACTGATCAAGCTTAGAAAGATCCTTGGAAATTCCACCTATCTTAAAGCCTAAAAAAAACTTAATATGACCACACATTGAAAGACGGAAAAGACACACAAACTAATCAAACAACTTGCCACTGACCTTGTTCAAGTCTGAAGAGGGTCTTTTCCAGCTTTTCCATTTCGTTCAGAAGTAAGATTCTAATCTGCTTACTGTGTCCCATTTTGGCTTCTAGAAGACTTGAAATCGTTCAGAAGAATGAAAAGGACTCCGAAGTCGAATGAATTACCCCTATGAAACAAAAAGAGGAATTAAGGTAAAGAACTATTACCTTAAACTCTCTGAGGCTGACAGCCGCACTTACATGTTCTAAACGTGCTTTCACCCCTAGCAGAGCAGAGAGAAAGAATGAATCTTATTAAACAGGACCTGAGAAGGCAAATTGATAGTTTCCTCCCTTCGAGCACATCCGGACCGAAGGAACCCTCCTGTATGATAGACTCTTGCAAGGAAAACAAAAGAAAACAAAAACCTAAATCATTCTCAGAGAAGGGCAATACGTTGTGGAAAGCCTGGATTGGGGTTGGGGTTGGGGGGGGGGGGGTGGAAATTCCCGGTCCCAAGCCAGGAGGCTTTGGAGACTACAAGTGGCACTTCTGCTTACAAGAGATTAGTGTGCTCCGAGATAACAGGTGGGCGAGCTCCCCATTCCCAAATTCGGGTTGGAAGCCACCAATGGGGAGATGAGAACAGAGGGAAGCAGTTGTTCCTCCGGAATAGCATGGGACGTACAGACAGAGCTATACATAGAAAGCAGGCCTCTCCCCGAGCCGGCGGCGGCCCTAGCACTTACGCTGCGCGGGCCGTCCGTGCGCCTCCCGGGCCCTGCAGACCTGCGGCGGGGCGGCCGCAGCCGGGGGAGGATCCAGACCCGCGGCCCGCGCCCGCGCAGGGGGCAGCCCCGCTCACCCAGGGCCCGGCGCCTGGAGGGCACGGGGCGGGGCGACGGCAGCCGGGCCAGGCGGGGCGGCGGCGCGGACCGCGAGCGCCCCCGGGACCGCGCTCCGAGAGCCCCGACCCCGCCGGCCTCGGGGGCGCGCACCCCGCGGGGGGCTGCCAGGGCCCCCCCCACTTCCGGGAGCGCCGCGGCCGCTAGTCTCGCGAGACTGTGGTCGGCCGGGCCGGGGTCAGGCGGCGGCGGCGGCGGCCCGGGCGGCCCGCGAGCCGCTGCTCCTCCCGCCGCTGGGGAGGTGCGAGGTCCGCCTTGTGCGCCGCCGTCGCCGCCCGCGAGCTCCGGGCTGAAGGTTAAAATGCTGCGGTAGACGGGCTGCCACGAGGTGCCCCACGGGGCCGCTTTGTGGAACGGCTGAGTGGTGGGAGGCCAGCCGCCCAGCTGCTGCTGCTTTTTCCACCACGATGTTGTTTTGTAGCTTTGTTTTGATTTTTTAAAAACGATTTTTATTTATTTATTCACGAGAAACAAAGAGAGAGGGGCAGAGACACAGGCAGAGGGAGAAGCAGACTCCGTGCAAAGAGCCCGATGCGGGACTCGATCCCGGGTCTCCAGGATCTCACCCTAGGCCGAATGCAAACCGCTCAGCCACCCAGGGCTCCCCTGACTTTTTTTTTTTTTTTTTTTAATTTAAACATGGCTTATGTTTGCTTGGCCCCAGTTCTCCGAATCTTGCTTTCCCCGTGGCTAGAATAAGGGGCCTGGCCACAGGCTCTGGCATTCCGTCCGTCCTGCGCGGGCCATCTCCGGGCCTGACCCGGGGCACCCCTTGAACGCAGACACGGACGGGCTAGGAAGGGGAAGTGCGGGCAGCTCACGCACGACGGAGGCCGCAGGCACCACTTGCACAGTGTCTGGTTGCATCTGACGTACACTGCAGAGACCTGAAGGTTGTATGGGATTAAGAATCTATTCTGGCTTTTGGTGCATGTATTTTAGGGCAGAAATTTAGGATGTGGTACAGATGCCTGTGGGGATTTAATGCCAGGGGAAAAGAAAACTCCTAGAGCATTCTGAGGACACTAAAGGATCATGAGAAAACAGAAGGTCTGCAGGGTGGAGAAAAACCTTGCTTTCCTTATGGTAGACGTAGTATAGGTCCAAAACCAATGAGTTACAAACTAAAGATACGGAGATGTTTGTTTTAGTAAATTTCTGAGAATGGCTAGTTGCAATGGCCCAAAGCTGGGTTTGGGAACCCATAGTTCACTTAACTTGTTCAACTAGTATTTATTGAGCACCTAGAATTTGCCAGGCATGGAAGTGAAACAAATTCATTGCCCTCGTGGAACTCCTACTTTTTTTTTTTTTTTTTAAAGATTTTATCTATTTATTCATAAGAGAGAAAAGAGAGAGAGAGAGGCAGAAGCAGGCTCCATGCAGGGAGCCCGACGCAGGACTCCATCCCGGGTCCCCGGGCTGAAGTCGGCGCTAAACCGCTGAGCCACCCGGGCTGCCCAAACTCCTACGTTTTATTTGCAGGAGACAGATGAACAAATTCAATAAGTACATCGTATAAGAGAATAAAAGTTTGTAAGAAAAGGAGAAATGGAAAGTGTGGAAGAGTCAGGAGAGGCAGGTTTGCAATTGTAAATACAACAGCCAATAAAGGACTTGCCAATAAATTGACATTTGTTCCCAATCAGAGTAAGAGAAAGGAGGATATCCAGGGTAGAGGGTTATACACAGAGGTATAGAAGTCCAAAGGCCATGAGGTAGGAGCCTATTTGGTGAATTCAAGGAGGCCACCATAGCTAAGTGAAGAGAGTGGTAAGAAATTAAGACAGATAATGGGGTGGGGCTGGCAACCAGATCTTATAAGGCTTTGTAGGCTATTGCAAGGATTTAGGCTTTTAGCGCGGGCAGAAGAGATGTTGGAGGATTTTGAACAGAAGAATAACATCATCTGTTAGACCTTTTAAAAGGATTACTCTGCAACTCTGTAGAGAATAGCTAAACTGCAGGGTGTGGCAAGGAAGGAAGCAACACCAGTTAAGTTATTTCACTTAACCAAAAGATAGTGGTTGGAGGGTGGGGGTGGGGAGGGGAAAGGTACAGCAGTAAAAGTGGTGAGAAGTTGAGTTATGGATCCATTTTTGAAAGTAGAGCTTATCCTGATGGACAGAAAGGAGTCTTGGATGATTCTAAGGTTTTTAGCTTGAGCAACCAGGGGATTACTGTCCAATAAAAATACAACAAAAAGAAAAAAGAAAAACATAATCTAAAAAATATAATTTTTTACATAGGTAAAAAAAAATCAAGTAGCCATATCAGAAAAGTAAAAAGAAACAGGTGAAATTAATTTTCATAGTATATGTGATTTAACTCAATAGATCTTAAACATTGCAATCAATATAAATGTTATTGATGAGATACTTTAGGTTCTTTTTTCCTACTGAGTCTTCAAAATTTGGTGTGTATTTTACATTTCTAGCATGTCTCAATTATGATACATACATTTCAAGTACTCCATAGCTTTGTGTACAGACAGTACAGAAAAGGCTGCCATTTAATGAGAAAGGGAGAAAAGAGAAGGAGCAGGATTGGAGGATAAAATTCAGGAGTTTGGTTGCAGACTGTCAGTAACCAAGTGAAGATGACTATTCATTTGTTTGATATCACTGTCAAACATCCAAATGGAGATATTAAATGATCACTGATAGCCCTGGTCTCTAAAGTAGCGTTTTTCAAATTGTAAGTCATAACCCTTTGAGGATTGTCAAAGTAATTTATTAGTTGCAATCAACGGTTTTTATTTTATTTTTTTTAAGGTTTTATTTATTTATTAGAGAGAGAGAGAGAGGCAGAGGGAGAAGCAGGCTCAACACAGGGATCCTGACGTGGGACTCGATCCTGGGTCTCCAGGATCATGCCCTGGGCCAAAGGCAGCACTACACCACTGAGCCACCCGGGCTGGCCAACCAATGGTTTTTAAAATAAAATAGGCAAAGATCTGAATGCACTGCACCTGGTAAGACTATTATTTCAAAAACTTCTGTTCCTGTTATTTTTTGTTGTATGGGGTCATGTATTCCTACTTGGGGGATCATGGTCAAAAACATGTTTGAGAGCCATGGCTCTAGAGAGTATGCTGTATAAAAGCGTAATAATTCAGGATTATAAAATGTGTCCAGATTTTAATTCCAGGTCTGCCAGTAACTAGCTGTGAAACTTTGGAAGATACTCAACTTTTGTGTGCTTTGGTTTCTACAACTGTAAAATATGGGTAAAAATAGAACCTACTATTAATTAAATGAGGACTCAGAACTGTGCCTGAGATACTGAGTACTGTGGGGAAGTACAAATTAGAGTGGGACTCAGACTGATGTGAAATACAGTTCATGTTTATGTTTGTCTTCAGGCTCTCCTACCCAAATCCCCTACCCTTTCAGTCTGTTTTAAGACCCTCTCATCACAGTGCCCTCTTGCTGAACACTCTTTTCCAAGGCTCCAAAATTAGCCTTTCATGCTGTCCCTCTGCCAGCAAAACTGTCACTTTAGTGCCCAATATTTCACCTAGAAATAAGGAGTAGAACAGACTGACAAAATGAATTCCTTTAGTGGTGAATTATTCTTACACAAAATGCTTGAGTTTTAAGAAATTTGTCAACCTAAAAGATCGTCATTTTGGAGATTTCATGTTGTGAAAGAAAGTGAAAAATGTTAACTCATGAAAACATTATGATTTGATGTGATGTATCTCCAAGGTTACATTTACAAGCCACATAGTGTCCTTTTTAAAAAAGAAAAAGTCACACTAGTATGCTATTTGTGAAGTTCTTGGAATGCTAATGAATCTGCAGTTTGGGGCTACAGCAGTACCATGTGCTGCCTTCATTTTGGCGAACATTTGTCATGTGCCTGTCCTGTGCGTAACAGTGATCTATATATACACAATAATCTCATGCTGGAGTTGTTAGGAGAAGAATCTCCTTGAGGAACATCTGATGGATAATCTCAGCTATTTGGCAGTGACTCTAGTGCTTTTTAAAACATTGATATTAATGTATTTGGGGAGTGGGAGAAGGCTGTGGTCAGAAGAGTCAGAAAACACTACAGTGTTTCTTAAGGTTTGTGTATTATGTGTCTGTTTTTGGAAAGGGAAAGGAGTTATTTGGGGTACTGCATAGTTCAGTTCCAATCCTGTGATACTCTGGATCTAAAGTAGATGAGTCTGTTTTATTTGGTTTTTATATTCATCAGCATTTTTTTGTGTATTTTATTTTGTAGCGATAACATACTGACATTATTAATAATTTTATTTTGTAACATTTGGAATTGTGTTTCCAGAATCTCTTCTAAATTGATCAATTTATTCTGCACCTTTTTGAAATATCCAGATTTAGCCAGTGAAGAGAAGAAAGGAAGATTAGAAAGGAAATAGAGTTGAAGTCAGACAAGTATAGGGACCTAATATATAATGACATAGAGATATGAAAACCAGAGAGAGGTCTTTTCAAAAAAGGGGGATAGTACAATATAAAGAAAATGGGCTTTGGAAACAAACCAAGGATTAGTTTTAATCTCTCTGAATTACAGTTGATTCATCTGTGAAATGGAGAGAACACTTCACTTGGAGGGTCT